GCTGCGCCACCAGGGAGGGCCATGCTAAGCCTTTTAAGACGCCAAGGGCTTCAAAGTTCTTATTTTTGGGAAATTAAAAAAAAAATTGTACTGGGGTATAGGCCAGAGGTGCAGGGGTGGTGAGAGGATTCACCAGAGACAGACGCAGAACAGGTGGAATTCATGAAGTACACTGCTGAGGGGGGCAGCGGGCGGGACAGGAGCGGTCTGCCGTGCCATGTGGGTCAGCTCCCTGGCTGGGGACGGAACGCAGTCCCTAGCAGTGAGAGTGCTGAGACTTAATCCCTAAGCCACCAGGGAGGAGGGCCCCCCCCAATTCTTCTGAATTGTTAAAACCCATGGTGAATCTACCTGACCTGGGGGAGTGGTAGTCACTGTGGCGACTTCGCTTCTGAAGTTCCACCTGGGTACATCCAGGTACCAGCCTCTCCCTGCCGCCTGCCTTGACGCCCGCCGAGCTGCCTCCTCAGGGTGGGGTGGGCCTTACTCATGCTGTCTGTGGGAGGGGGGCACAGAGCCTCTCGCCCCAGGACACGTCCCGGAAACAACTCAAACTCGGGAGGAGGATGTGGGGGCTGGGGTGAGAGATGGGCCCACCATGGGGCTGTCTGTGTGACTCTGCGTTCTGCGGGTTTTCACGCCGGCAGCAGTGAGGCTGGGAACCGTGCAAATTTCAAGGAGCACAGGTGAGCCTACAAGCTGCAGAAACACTTTCTGTGAGTAGGAGAAGCTGCCTCTGACAGGAGGAGAAAGGCCTGAAGAACAGGGGGCATGTCTGCTGTGTCTGCAGCCATGTTAGCTTAGGGCCTGAGGTCTCAACTGTCGGCTGATACAAAGAAAGAGGGAAGGCGGGGAAGATCGTGCACACTTGGGAGAAAACGGGGAGACAACATGTGGGAGAGGAAGTGGAAAGAAAATGGAGCCATGCAGCTCCTTCCTGCAGCCCGTGGCCTGCCTCTCCCACCAGGGCCTCCTTTTCCTCCAGGTTGGGCTGCAGCGTGTGATACTGGGCGGAAGCAAAGAGCACTCGGGAGTGTGAGCGCGGGGCACACGCCCCGACCCGGGCTGCAGAGCGCGGGGCACACGCCCCGACCCGGGCTGCAGAGCGCGGGGCACACGCCCCGACCCGGGCTGCAGAGCGCGGGGCTGTGCTTATGCGAGTTCTGACACCTGAGCTGAGAAGCGGGGTTGAAGCGGAGGCTCACGGGCTGGGGTTTGGGCTCCGCCGCTGCCTGCAGCCTGCAGGTGTGCCAGGCCCTGAAGCGGCACTGCAGGCCTCGCTCCAACATTCTCTTTGCGACCGCCCAAGTCAACAGTGACCTTGAGTCAGTCAGACGCTGCCTGGTAGGGGTGGCTGCACAACAGTAATGTGGATGGAGTAGAGGGAGAAGGGAGGGAGGGAGAAGAAATTGTCCTTAACAGCGCCTATGTATATTGGGGTCACCTACTGAGTGCTGGTCCCCAGGTGCACCCCGACACCTGGAGTCTCTCACCCCCGAGTTGCTTCTTTGTTTACCTTGGGTATTTTTTTTCAGCTTCCAAATGTCACTTTATTCTGCCTCCCTCTATATTTCTTTCTTGGGCTCAAGTCTTAATCCTCTTACTGTTTCACCTGGGGCCGGTGGCGATTCACACAGTGACAGGGGGCGAAGGTGCCAGAAGGGAGTGGGACATGTCCAGTGCTCAGCACAGCGCTGGGCACCAGGGAGCGCTCAGTCTTGGTGCCCGGCCAGGAGAAAAGCGCTGGAAAGGGGGCTGGTGGCTAAAATCCACGTCTGTGGGAACAGGTCACTTAGAAAGTGAACATGGTTCTCATAAGCAGCTGCCTCTGCTGGTCACGGACATGCTCTCTGTCCATCCCACAAGGCAAGTGGACAAGGACAACTTTGCTAGATTTTGAATCTGTTTAAAATCTGGTGAGGCGCAGTATTGAGAACAGGGATGGGTTACTTTTGCAGTAGAGGGTGGTGGGTTCAAGGGTGGGCCAAGGAGGATCCCATCTCTGTTTCTCTGCATGCCCAGAGCGGGTCAATGCTGTCTCATGTCACAGGTGAAACAGGGGGCCAGGCTCCGAAGCACTGCTTCAGGGGAGGGAGGGGTCCCTCACTTCTGTGTCGGTTATTAATAGAATTTGGATCCTTTGCTCAGGTTTCCCTAGCGCCTAGGGTTCAGATGTTCAGATGCTCGAGCTCTGTTTTGGCAACTCCCTGCCTGAAGTTGTGGCCAAATTGTTCTTTACCTTGTTTCAAGGCCATAGAACAAGTGGCCTGTGTTTTGAGGCAGAAGTTAAATATACATTTGTTTACTGTGACTGGTTCAGGAACACATTTTACAAAGTGCCTGTTTTCTTTATTGTTTCAGGAAAGTTCTATTAAAAGGTTTTGAATATCAAATATTTAAAAAATTAGGTGTTTTGAAAAATTCTGAGTAATTCAAATGTATGTCCATGCCTTCCGTAGATAATCTTCAGAGACTACCGTTCTGACCAGACCACTTAGAAAAATGTCTGGAATATTCATATTTGAAGATTCCTTATTAATGGATGACTATTTTTAAATCTAATAAACTGAAACCTTTTCTTACACTTTTCATTATATGCTGTTGACAAGCTAAGTTATATTGTGTAGTGGTTTAAAAAGAAAAAATCTACGCCCAGACCACTGCAGCTGCTTCACAGGTCTCTCCACTTCCTTGATTATTTCTAGAATTCGGGCTTCACACAGCAGCAAAATGATAGTGTCACCTGTTCCTGTTACTAAACTAACCTCATGATGGCCCAGTAAATTGTGAGTGTGAAAAATCACTTTAAAAGAGTCTAACTTTTAAAGTAATTTTGACTTAAAAAAACATAGATTTTTTGCTTCTTTTTGGGTTTTTCTTTAAAAGCTGATGTTAAAATTGTTGGTAGAGAGGGTTAAGTATATGAGAGAGTAGTAAACAATCTAAGAGAGCACTAATGCAGAGAGCCCCACAGGGGCCAGGCATTTTAGGGTACGCCACAGTGGCTTCTGGAGCTTCCTGGGGCTGTCCCAGCTAAAGAGATGCCATGCAAAGTCTGACTTTCTCTGACCAAGACTTCACCCCTGGGAGAATCCCCACTCTGCTGTTATCACTGAGGTAATGATAAAGGTTCCAATAAATGCTACATTCCTGGAAATGTCTGACTGACTTCTTTGTTAATCAGATAAATGTATATGTCTGCTTTAAAATTTCTAGCTCTACATAATACTGGTAAGGATTTGAAGCAAAAGTTTCAATGCTGTTTTAAGTCATGGTTTAAATTTTTTCAAATTTGTTTGGGAATTCCTTTGAAGACAATCAAGTTGAGTTGAATATAGCCTTTTTATCACACTCTTAAGAAAATAGATACTTGGGGGATTTTAAGCGGAAAAGACCTAAAGTTCATTTGTCAAGGTTCAAAGTTCTCACCATACACAATGAATAAATGTTATGTTAACTTAGGGGAAAGGTAATTTTTTTTAAAAAGGTAAAATGGTGAGAGACTTGCTTAGCTAAGACGTTAAAAAGATTTCACTGAGTGAGGTTCACAGGAAAAGATGAATTCCCTCCTGCCTTCAGACTGAGATTCTACAGTTAGTGTAAGTCACGCATGCTTGAGTCCTCTGTGATCTGAGAGTACTACAGAATTGTATAGTTTCTCTGTATTTTAGGACAGACTCACAATTAAAATCACCATAACAAAGTGTTAGCATAAAAAGAGGAACGCTTCCTCTCACCAAACCCCAGGCCCAAATTCCCTTTTTCTCAAAGTTCTTCACTGCTTGACCTTTTTAACAGAACACCTCACATATCTGGAACAAAGCTAAGGATGGCTGAGCTAAGCTACCCCAGGGAGCCATCCACATACTCTTTGTTATAAAGTCCATGTTACAAAGTTAAATATTGCAGGAGGTGGGGGAAGGGTGTTTTCCCTGGTCTCCCCCACTAGCCTCTCAGTCCACATGTGATAAGGTGTTAATGCAAAAAGTGCTTGGGAGCATGAGCACAGGCAGACGCACCTGTGATTAGATACCTGGGCCAAGAGACCAGCGCGAACTGGGGTACCTGGGCGAGATAGTTCTGAGAGAGAGGGGGCGGGAGATCAGGGGGCGTCTAGCTGCTGGTGTGCCTGAGTCCAGCCCCCACTTCCACATTAAATACCTGTCAGATCTACCCAGCGCTCCAAGACCCACACTGAGCCTGACAGCTGGGACGGGGCCTCGGCAGACCCAGCGCATTCAGAGTCCACAACACACCCTGCT